AAATCTTGTGAAAAGCTTTCCCAAAGTGGCAGCTGTCATAGCTCAAATTTTTATTATTGGGATTGGACCAGAAAAAAATTATACTGTGTCATCTTAATTTAAACCAGCAAGCTTTCGCCACAATATCTGTCAGATAACCTCTAAATGTATAGATGTAGATCATATTTTTATGATGCCAAATCTGCCTCTTGATAGCTATTCTTTAAAAAATCATTTCCAAAGTCATTATTCTGAGGCAGCAAGACACTGTTAGCCCGGAAGGGTTTTGAGGAAAACTTTAGGAATGTATTCTGGTACAGTTATTAAAAAATACCTGTTCAAATGTAAAGGGTAACCTAATCCAAGAATCACAGTATTTAAGCGACATAACCTGATTAACTTCTGTTACTGAGTGTCTCAATGCCAAAAGTGCACAAAGACACAAGCAAAAAGAAATATCACTAAGACGACTTACTTCTGCAGGTACTCCGTAAGACAACAGAACAACGTAAGATAACCTTAGCGAAGCAAATGGAAGCACACATTAAACATCTCAGCATCTTTTTTAGTATATGATATCGAGCCTAGCTAGCATGGACCATGATGGTCAAGGGCATGGAAGAGTCATCTCTGGAGGACCTATTCTATTCCTGCGATGGACTCTGCTGTTTTACCTGCAAGCAGTACAATTAAACTAAAGTTACTTCACTAAAATTTCTATGTGAATTGCAATTAGATTCCTTAAGCGCACAAATATCACCTGTATTTGTTCATATTCCATCCATCCATCCACCTTCTATAATGGCTAATGTCTCGGGCAGCACAAATCGCAATGCATGGGCCCATACTGGACCGGATGTCAGTTCGTCACAGGGCAGCACAAACACACACACACAATGGGCAATAAACATGAGTATTGCTACATGTTGACGACAGTGAGAGGAAATGCAGACAAACGCAGGGAGAATGTACAACCCTCAAACATGCACAAGGGCGAGATTCAAACCACTAGTCACTGTGACATGCACCTTCTTCGAAATGAATTTTTAATACTACTTGCATTCAATATATTCATTTAATAACAGTGTAAACCCATTAAGCAACTGCTGGCAAATTATGGGCTTGTCTGGGCTCTGCTGCTAAGCTTGCGGCTGGTTTCACCTCACGGGGGAGGTGGGGGACATTAACAGAAAAGATATCTGAGCTGCTGGTGAACAGTTTGGAGAAGAAGAAGATTAGAGCTGTTGCAAGACTTGCATTACTGAGATGGTGTGGAGTCTCAGGCAACAGAAGTGGCTACACTGAGAGTTCCTTCAGCATCAGCACATCACCAGGTGTCCACTGGGAACCCAGCACATCTTCAGCTGATCGTCGCATTAGATTATGTGCATCTGCAGCACTCGCCCAGCATGCAAAGCTGCTCTAGCATGACGTGAAACCTGACACCTGGCACTGCAAGCAGTGTCACTGGCACAGTCACTGGCAGAGTCACTGGCACAGAGCCTTCAGCCAGCTGGTGCTCTGTAGCAGGGATCCCCGCTGTGTTTTACCCAACAGGTTTCCGACAAAGTGGAGGAGGGTCAGGTTTCAAAGCATCAATGGGAGGTCTGAGTGGGCGGGGCTGTTTGGGGGTAGTTATACCATCTAACTGGTGGCTCCGCCCACTCTACAATGCAGGGGACATAAAGGAGGAAGAGAACCAGCAGAGCGACACTTTCTGCTAGGAGACCACCGAAAGTCTCCCCAACAGCCCAACGATGACGTCCATAGCGGGCAAAGTGGCGCAGCAGCAGGCGCGAGCCGGCGGTGTCGGAACCAATGACACAGCCGTGAAGTTCGGCGACCAGGACTACAAGACTCTGAGGAGCCGCTGTCTGCAGCAGGGCAAGCTGTTCGAGGATGATCTCTTCCCGGCTGGGTCC